AACTAGTGACAGGATCATATGACTTTTTCCTTTCCTCTGTTAAAATCATGACTTCTGGGGGTGTATCATCCAGTGCTGAACCAACACTGCCATTCCTATAATAAAACCACTTTCTATATATTGCCAGATCTGACTTCTAATAGTTTGTTTTGTTAAGCAAATTTCTATCTATGTTCATACTTTTTCCTTTTATTATCTTTATCCAGTTTTAGGATTAGCACAATGTTGATTTCCTAAAATGAGAGAAGTGTTCCTTTTTTTCTGCTTTAATTATTTGATATAATTTATCGGTTAAAATGTATATGAGCCTGCTGTTGTCATATAGGTAGGTTTTAAAGCTAGGAATATACTTTCTTTAATAGGTGCTATTCAAATTTTATATTTCTTCCAGAGTTAGTTTCATTAATTTGTCTTCCAAGGTACTTCTTAGAAGTTGTCAAATTTATTCCAAAACAGATTTTTGTAATATGCCTTCTATATCCTTTTAAATTCTGTGGTAATGTCTCCTAGATCTTGATATTGTAATTTAAAAAATGTATAATTGATATTGTGTAATAGGAAGTAAAGGTCTAAAGGAGCAGGGAAAGTGGGAAGGGTAGGGGAAAGGAAAAAAGCGAAAAGAAAAAATATGAAAAAAGGAAAAAAATGGAAACAAAGTCTTTGCAAATAGGGAAGGGTGGAGGGGGTGAAGGGAGGGCAGGGGAAGGGGAAAAAAATAAGAATGAAGATACTCATGTAATGGTACAAGATCCCAATGATGAATGTAACTGTATTTTATACCTAAAATGTACCAATAAACTTAATGGGAAAAAAAAAGATGGAGAAGCAGGAGAGCCAATAACATAATGCTGGTCTCATATTGAAGGCCTGAATATCAAGGAAGCTGATGGTGTAACTTCTAGTCCCAAAACTTACAAGTTTCAGAACCAATAAAAGCTGATGTTTCAGTTAAAATCCAAAGAGAGGAAAAGACCAATATCCCAGCTCAAGACATTCAGACACATGGGCGGGTCAGATTTTTATTCCATTTAGGCCTTTTTCTGATCCGATGAGGTTCATACACATTAGGGAAGGAAGCTGCTTTACTCATTCTACTAAGGCAAATGTTAATCTCAGCCAATAACACCCTCACAGAGATATCTAGTGTTTGACCAGATATCTGCGTACCATAAGCCCTAGCCAAGTGAGCCATTGCATTCCCTACAGTGAGAAATCACTTTTAAAAACATAGTAGGTATCAGAATCACATCCTTGCACATTAATATACAATAAAAACAAGAAAACTGTTATGATAAAGTGTCTTTTACACAATTGAAATTATAAGAATAATAATGAAATGCCAAAAAGGTTTAATTTTATTATAACATGTAGCATATAGTTCTTTTATTTTCAAGGTACATTTTTCTTGCGGTTTGAATAAGTAATCATTTTTTTCCTATGCATGTGGACTGAATGCTTATGTGTTCAGGGAAAAGCAGAGTGTGAGAGAAATAAAACATTTGAATTATTAAGCAGATTTTTAAATACTTGAGACACTTGTCAGTGTATCTTGGCATCATTATTTAACTAATGTAAATGTTGATTTAATTTCTTTGTATTTTATTTTTATGATCATTTACTATTAGGTGTTTCCTTGCTGCTTAAAAGTATACATGGAAAGTGTATACAGTTTTAGGATTGAGATGGCAATTTCAAGTCTTTACAGACTTGTGGCTGGAAATTAAACAAGTGACAACCATGGTCCTTGCCTAAACTTGCTTATTTTATGAACTGGAATAAAAATGCTTGTTAACAAACATTAAATATGGAATACTTTGAACTTCTTAGATGAAATACTTAATATGAATTTACTCAGCCTTGTAAATAAATTTAAAAAGTTAATTAACCTGCACAAATTTGTTACCAACCTTCCCTCTCCCACAGTGCTTAACTTGTAATAAAATGAAGAAAATTAACATTTCTTTCTACTTCCTTCTTAGATATTAGGTTTATGGAGTTGAGCAGATCAGTGTCTATAATTGGTATGAATCTATTATAATCCACTGAAGTCCTGTGTGAGAAAATGATTCACACTAGGATCAAATATATACTTAGAATCACCTCAGATATGTGAATTTGACCTAGATTTCAAACTAATGAATAATGTTGACTTAGAGAATATGAGTCTGTGTCAAGAATGCTGTCTTGTGGAAAATCCCTATGTGAAATGTTTCAAGGAAACAACTGTACTATTAAAATTGGAATCCTTTTTATCTGGCTATTTTACACTGAATCTAGTTATTCAGAGAGAGAGAGAGAGAGAGAGAGAGAGATTGTAGGCTGGCCAGGTAAGCTCTCAGCTCTCAGCTGGAGAAATTCTGAGCCAATCTACTTGAGGATTCTTCAGGAAACTCTGTGTTGTCCCAGAAGCCCCCAATTTTGAATAAGCTTTATTGAAGACTCTGTCCTCAATTCAGAGCTGCCCTCCATGACTCTGACATGTGGCTTAATAGGGAAGAGCTCTCAGCTCTAGGACCCAACTATCACTCAGGCCACACAATACTCTTGCATGCTACTTTATTTATTAACCATAAATAGTCCATCTTTGATACCAGAATGTACTTTAATATTCTCTAAACTTCAAAATATAATTTAAAACCATTTCTAGATAATAATCTCTATCACCATGTTCATTGATCTACAAAAGGAGTTTATATATAACAAAGATAACAGCACAAAACTTTAGGGAAAATACGGACATAACAATGAATGGATAGGGTGGAGGAAACCAGAGTGGGTAAGAGAATCCAATATTAAAGAAATGTGATCCTGAAAGCTGGATATGGTCTTTTTAATTTACCTGAAAAATATAAAACATACAAATAAGATTGTAGCTAGAAAGATCCAAAGAAGTGGAATGCAATGAAAATATTAAACCTATGTAAAGGGAGTAGCCATACCAAGAAGAGAGAGACTAGAAGAGAAAGAATAAGTACTGGCTTCAGAAGAAATGTTCTGGCCCAATACAGGGCCAAGGATAAGCCACAACTCTATGTCAGAGACAAAAAAAAAAAAAAAAAAAAGCAAATACTGACTGAAGAAGGTCATTTGTGTCATTGTCGGAACATGCATATAAGAGAAGTCACCACCTTTTTTCAGTGAAGGCACCTAGTATTTAAAAACTATGGAGGAGTGGAAAGAGCATCAAATATTCTACTTAAATATCATGTTTATTTTAAAATTTAGTTATTTAAAAAAACATGTAATGGAATTTAGTATTGTCAAGTTTTAATACATATCATCCTTCAATTAAGAGAAAAATTATATTTAAGGAACATAGAAGAAATTTGAGATTGAGTTTGAGAATTATGTATGCCAAATGAAATTAGAACCAAGCCTATATTTGTGTTGATGTTGGGTAAGGCGCATATACTGACTTGAAAAGACATAGATGTTGTTACAATCTAGAGACCATAGAGCATGTTAAAATGATTTTTATTTCATTCCCAAGCATTTACAAAGTAAATGCCAGGTTCTATCACATTCTTCCTAATGACACAAAATAGTCCAACAACCTAGGTTTCAGATTTCATAAGTTCAAAATTTCCTCGCTAATACGCTGGTTTGTGAGACACTGATGATCAGAGACTGGTGAATACCATGCCTTTTCAGGGCATTCAAATTCAACTAGAAACAAATATCTAGTCTGATGAAAAGAAAATTCCTTCAGAGGTTCTGGTTTTCAGCACCTAGATCTTTCAAAACTCCTTAGAATTTTTACATAATATAAAATAATTTATTTGCTTTTCATGATCTAGTACTTAAGGATATGTTGTCCTTAAGAATATAATAGATCCTCCTTAAAGTATTGCAGGAAAGTTAAAAACCTCTCTCTAGAAGTCTGAAAACATCAAGAATGTATAAAGGAATAAAAGAGTAATACCTCCCACTTCACAGAATTAGGTTTTGAAGAAAATTAGTGAAAGTCATCCTAAAAAGTCATCAGGTTACTCTTGATTAGGTTATATGATAAAATCTCTTTCTATTTCTAAGGTGCTTAGTCATCCAAGATATTTGTAAATATCATTAAAAACCTGCCTTATTTATTAGCTTTGTACTAGCTTTCCATTTCAATAGATTAAATTTTTGTTACAAAGATCTTTCTATCAGATCCTCAAAAATGGATAGGTATTGAAATATTATTATGTTTCAAATATCTAGCACTATTGTTGAAGAAAGTCAAAAAAATTCATTTTAATATTAAACTTCACGTTTTTGAGGTGTTTGATAGGTTGTACCTGAAAGTAGTTTTAAAAATGTGTCACGCCTAACAGGAGTGAGTCAATGTCTTCATTCAATGGTAAATTTACATTTAAATTTATACCTGGTATCAAATGTGATATTCTGGTATTTATTTGCCTCATTTTTCTCATTACAACTACCCAGGAATGGGTATTCTTTCACATTTCTTTGAGACAACTCCATCTCAGATAGATCGTAGATATTTGAAGAATGTATTTTAAAAAGCATCTTTGTCAAAACTAATTATATAAACAGCTTTCCAAATGCTTATTTTTAATGTTTCAGTTTTGTACAGTCACTGCCTTTTGTTTTACAAGGTAGACAACTCTTATTTCATTTCCCCAGAGGTTTCATTTAGCTGTGTGGCTGGTTCTTAGGGACTCAAATTTCTTATCAAAATTTTCAAGTTAGAGTCATTACTATCAAAATAAATCTACAGTAAAATTACTTTTGAAGCACCAACAGCAAGCAAAGGTTGATTCCTAGCTGTGCTAGTCATGCTTCCATGAGCATCAGAACCACGGGAAGGTGTTTCAACAGATTCTGTCCCTACCAGGGCAGTGTTCCCATTAAGGAGGAGAGGGTGGAATCCAGGCTCGCTCAGCTTGCTCCTGGTTGGAGATGATGGTACTGACCCATGAACACATTTTGAATAGCACTGACTTAGAGATGACTTGGGAAGCACAATGTGTATTAAACATTTCAATTATGTTTTTCAGAAAAATAAGTTCAATTGTGACAGAAGAATTCAGTGCCCAGAAACCAATGTCAGTTCTGTGCAGATACAAGGTGATGCTGATTATTTCATCAACCATCTTGGAGTTCCCACCGTGCAATTTACTTATGAGGACATCAGTGCATTAGAGGTGATTGTTCCCACAAATGCAAAACACACACACTCACACAATATAGCAGATGTGCAGAATATGATTTTATCATGGTTATTCGTCTTTCATGCCAAATAGGTCACTATAGAAAGTAGTTTCAGTTAGAGTTATTCTTGCTATTCAGAGGCTTTGTAACAGTATTTGAAAACATCAGCTGTTTTCAGTAGTGTTGAATTCAATTTAAAAAAATTTATACTGTCACTCACATTTTCACAGTGTGCTTTGCAACAAGAAATTTGCAGTAGTTGGATTAACATCAAAACATAATTGTAATCTTCAGTATTCACAGAAACAGATGACATGTGCAATAGATTCTCCTTTCCTTGCCCAAGGGAAAATGCATTTCATGTGCTCTAAGTTAATGCAAGTCTTCTGGAATAGATACTCAAAGTTTGTCAGCAGTTTGCCTACCAAATAAGATGCTACTTTCTTAATGAAGAAAATTTTTTTCCCAAAGAATATCAAAAAGGTATTATTCATCTAAATTAAATCTGTGTTCATCCATTTAGTGGCCCTCAATCTTATTACTCTTTCTCAGGATTATGTCACAGTAAATTTCTCTGTAAATCTAAGTCTTTTGGAATATTTTACCTTTAATTTTAAGAAATTATTCATATATTATTAGGTGCTATTTGAAACATTATGGAATAGCCTATTGGAATCAATTACTAAATGAACAAAATAATGGCTGGAAAATAGAGCAAAGCCTGATTTGCTCTCAAGTATCAATCTTTCTGAAGAGAAATATTTAATTATATTTGCATAGACTCAAATTTATAAATGTAATATCTTAATTTCTAATAGCTTTTAGCAATATTTAGTATTATATTTATAAAAATAAATTCTATTTGGGCCAGGGATTTAGCTCAGCAGTTTTGCCGCCTGCTGTGCAAGCGCAAGGACCCAAGTTCGATCCCCGGTACCAAAAAAATAAAAAATTAAATAAATAAATAAATAAATTCTCTTTGCTTTTCCACACCCCACCCCCAACTCCACTTAAATTTCCCCATAAATAGGTAAGTATGACTAACAACAGCTTACATTCATGAAAGGAGAAACTCTCAGTAAGTTCTTCTGTGATGAGATGTAATATTGGTATAATTATTTTTTGTGTGTTTTAAAGTTAGGATTTTCATATGCTATTGACAAAATAGGGTACATGAGAAAAGATATCTTTCTTTTATGTAAACTCAATATATGCTTTTTAAGAAATTGATGTATTATAAAATAATTCAGCTTTAATTTTCCTGCTCAGTATCTTTTATATCTTTGCATCATTCTACCAGACTACCCAGCGTCTGTCACGTAAGCAAGGTGAATTATAGCTCTTTTTTAGTATGTCTAATTCATTTTGGTTGAGTTTTAAGGCAAGAATTTAGAGACAATCTAGAATGGCTGTGGGAATGAAACTAAAGTCCTTACTCTGACACCAGACAAGTTATTTAACCTCTCTCAGAGCTACATTACAAATGAGGCACTTTGGTATACTTATATCTGTTTTCTAGAGCTATGGTCAGAGCTAATGGAAACTATACATTTAAATATTTAGCTAAAATTGAGCTCATATAAAGCCCCATTAACCATTGTCAACACAATGATTATTTCTGGTTGCAGGCTCAACATCGTAGTGGGGAGTTCCTAAACTTTTTAGACAGGGACACATCAGTCAAAGGAAAGAGCTTAATTATTAAGAATAATCAACTTCTTAGGCTGAAAAGGTGGAATTTGATGTGGTTTAGCTGAAGGATCTGATGTGTTGCTAGAAAGATGATTTAGAATCAGAGCCCACTGAAGTATTAAGAAAGTACTAATACTACTGTGAACCTCCTGAGGCTACAGTTTCTCTATTAGAATTGGTTTAATATGAAGGAGCTAAACAATTTTTCAAATACCCAGAATGTATAACTCTCATCATCAAAATCATTTTTATTATATTACTGTTTCTGGAAGAATAATTAAAATAGCCTCCTATGTTTTATAATAAATGATCTTGCTAATATTGATTTAGTAGGGAGGACTTTTTAATGGATTTGTCCCTAACAAAATATTGCTGCTTGAGATGAGATAATTTTTTGTGATCTTTCTAAAGAACAGATATTAATCTTTATTTTCTGTGTTAACCTATAATAAATAATTGTGTACAGCTATTAAGTAGAATTATAAATATTGAAGGTTATTATCCATGATGTAAAAATATTTATACTATTTCAATTAATAAAGCAAGCAAGGAAATGAGAGCCTTATCATGAATTTGCTTACATTTTAAAATGTAATTTTCATATATAATCTTTAGGGACATAGCTTGTTGGATTGTGAATCAAGAATCCTGAGCTTTCAAATCTCTGCATATCAATAGTCAAGTTACATAGGTCTCTGGGCTTCTGTTTGTAATTAAAGCTTTATTTGTATGTAATTATAAGAAAAACAAAACAAAAATAGTATCTACCATCCATTGAGCACTTGCTAAGTCAAGTATTCTAAACCTCTTTTCTTATTTAATACTTACAAAATCTTTGTAAGTTAGCTATTCTTATTCATTCCTTTGTTTGTTTTTGTTTTTTGAGACAGGGTCTCCCTATGTAGTTTAGGTTGGCCTTGAACCAAAAGTGATTCTCTTGCCTCAGCTTCCCAAGTGCTGGAATCACCACACTCAGTTCATTCATTCCTTTTTTGCTGAAGATGAAATGGATTTAATTCAAGTAGTTTAACTAATGCTACAAAATATACTAATTGACCAAGACAGATGATGACTTAATATTTGTTTGATACCAAATCCAGGTTTTCAACTTTTGCACTAAAAATGGCAAATTAGACGCATAATACAAGATTCACCCCTGGATATATTTTGCTTACCTTGTGCTCTCTATTGAAAAATTGGATTTGTGGAAACATTGGACTCAACTGACTGAGCATTGCTCACCATGTTGTCATGTTCTTCATTAAAGAATCTTCCGTGTTATTTATTCAAGAGTGCAGTTAAGGGAAATATTTTCTTCAATAACTGTTCCTATAAAAAGTTGGGAAATGAATGATAATCCAGAAGGTCATGGTTTACCAGACTACGTCAAATTTATTACCTGCCAGGTCCCTGCAGGAACTGAATTCATTCTTTTTGCATCCATTTTGAGGAAAAAGAGTTAAAGTGAATAATTTAACTGTTGTTCCCAGTTTTAAAAATGTGTTCTAAGTAAGCAGCTAGTTTTAGATTTTACTCATTTTTTGAAATCATTTAAAATTTGCTTGGGTGATTATATTGTAAACTTTAGGATTTCTGTTAGTACATTTTTATCCAGTGAGACTGACTATGGATCGGTTACAGTATCCCCTCTCGATATCTGCAGGCCACAGATACAAGAGTCCGATGAATGCCTGAAATAGTGGAGGGCACTGGACTGGGTAATACTGGCGTCTCCTGTAGTATATACATACATATGATAAAGTTTAGTTTATACATTAGCCAGAGTGAGAGATTAACAACGATAAAGAATAATAACATAGACCATTTATAACAATATTCTGCACTAAAATTGCCAGCATTATAACTTTTGTATTTTGGGGGCATTATCAAGTAAAATAAGGAATATCTGAACACATGTACTATGATAGAATAAAAGTCAGTCTGATAACTGAGATGGCTACTAAGTGGCTAACAGGTAGTATAGATAGTGTGGACACACTGCATGGAGGAATAATTCATGTTCTGGGCAGAGCAGAGCAGGATAGTGTGAGATTTCATCATATTACTGAGAACAGCATGTAATTTATAACAAATTATTTCTGCAGTTTTCCATTTAACATTTTAGATCATACTTTACTGCTGGTAAATGAAACCAGAAAACCAAACCATGGAGGAGAGGGATTATTGTATATTTGATTTCAACAATTAAATCGTGATTATGGGGAAAATTTGAGCTGTAGAAAAATAAACTAGTGCCATAGAGATCAATTTTTAAGGAAATATGTGACATTATTTGTTCTATTTTTTAATGGAAACTGACGTTTTATAAATTTTATCACCAATATTTCATGTTAACCACATTTCCAGCTATAACTGCTCCCCATAATTTCTTTGGATGGAAATACATTGTTCACAATTGCTGAAAGATCTATCTATCTTTAGCTTTTCTTGGCATCAATACTTTAATTTTTCCAATAAATAAATTTCACTAATATAAAACAATCTATGAATTTGCCAAGTGTTAATATCATTCTTCCTTATAAGATACTGCCTTTAAATTGGAACATCTCTGGTTATAAGCCTCATTTAAATAAGGTTTTAAATTTGTAAACATTGCTGCACCTGTTAGGAGAAGCATTCTGTGCAGATTAAACACAATGCAAAGATTGCTGAAAGGAAATGAAAAGACAGATGCTTTCTGATTAAGAGTGTAATATTTATGACAGGCTGGTGGTCCGATGTACATTTCTTCTGTCACTTACCAGCTGTTTCTCATAATTATTGTTCCACATCAGTATTTCTATTCCCTATAGAACATGTCAGAGGGTCAGCATTGTTAGTATGTATATCAAAAGATCAATTCATGCCAAGCAAACTTGCCACTAATTGAAGATGTAATTCCCCACTCTGTTTAACTTCATAGTTTTTGGCTTTTCTACTTGAAACGTACTCTTTTAAACTCAATTTAAGACTATAATGGAGCATTTAACATGTTAATGATAATGAGAACAAGGGGTATCATAATTTTTATATAGCAGGAGTCATGGCATAATTGTTTCATTATCATTTAGTAAATCAAGGGTAGAATCCAAGTAGCATAAGCATTTAAAAACTTTTATTGTTTTTTTAAAGCTAGATGACTTTGATGCCAGTCTGTTACTGTGTTTTGGGTGCTGGAGACTCTTTCTGGAGGTAGTTTCTAGGTTCTTTCTGTCCTGAACAAAGAATTAGTCAAGACAAGCATAAAAGGTAGCATAGTTTCATTAAAAGTGGGAAAAAAACAGGCTCTGATGAGTGAGTT